TAATCCTGATTTCACCCTATAACCTATGACTACTAACTTAATCCTTCTGAGCCTCCCTTCTTCGATTGTAAAACAGAAGCTAACACAATAATCCCACATGGTTATTGTGAGGATTGAGTGTCCATCACATCTCTATAGCTTTTGTGGTGAAGCTTTATTCTGAGATCCATGCAACAGGGTGGGTCAAAAATTATATGTGAAGTTCTTATTAGAGTCTACCTCAAAACAGGCACCCAATAAGTTCCCTCCCACATTCTTTTCCCCTCCAAACAACAGGAAACTTATTGTATCAGGATGTGGAAGAATTGGCGGTCTAAACTCTGTTAACTTCTGAATTTTGGTATATTTTCCCAGGCACTTTTTTTGCTTGAACTAATAGGCAGATAAACCTGGTTCAACCATTTACCACTCTACATCTTGAATCTGAGAGTCCAAAGTGTAATGATGAATTAGTTCATTTTTCATTTTGACAGGCTTTCTTCATATTCTTCCTAAACTCTTCTTTGAGGCATCTAGCATATGATTTTGCCTATAGATGAGCCAGGTTTTCTCATTCCTTTTATTCTCTTTTATTTTTCTGTGTCCTCCTATTCTCACATCCTTCATTGGACTTCCCCAAACATTCATTTCTGATCCCTGTGCAATGCTAATAACCCAATATTCACTGTAATTCTGCCTTTAAAATGCCCACAAATACCATTTGGTTATCCTTCATCACAGCTTTATTCTCAATGTCTCACTGTTTTCACTGTTACCACACTGTTGTTCCAGTCACAAGGACTCACACATCTTCCTCCAATGTTCTTTTATTTAAATTCTCATGTTACCAAGCCCTGATGACTACTCCTCTATGAGAACTTACTCATAGGAAATGCTTTCTCACAAGAAATAATTTAGGGCAAAGTGGAAAGAGCATAGAATGTGCTGACCAGAAATCTGAATTTGAAATGTTTGCTGCACATTGTGACCTGGGGTAAATTCCTTACACTCTCTCTGGCCTTCATTTTACTCATTTGTAAAATAAGGATAATAATGAACTTTTAGAGTTTTATAAAAACTAAAATTAGATAATCTGTGAAATGCTTATCATAATAATCCACACACAGGTGATGCTCCATGACTGTTACTTTGCTTCTATACTATATATTTCTAAATCCCCAAACCTCCCACTTGGGCTTTGGTAAAAATTTTCTGCTATTTTCTTCACTTTTAAGCTTTTTCTTTTATATTTTTATCAGCAGAGAATATTCATCTTGAAGAAGGTTATTGAGGATAAAATGAGGTATGTAAAAATTGTTATATATGTGTATCACTTAAGATATATTTTGCATCAGTAAAAATAAAAATAATTAGTTCATAAAAGAAAAAGCCCAGAGATGGTGCGGGCTTCTTGGAAGATTGATTCAGCAAGTTCTTTCTATATTTCTTTTTCTTCAACAACAGTGTTGGTGTCATCCAAATATAGAGCCCCTCATGGCAGAAATTGAGGTTGTGTTTCTTCTTCATCCAATAGGAAAGGGAAATTGGTTTCCTGCGCCTTTATTAGATTCCAGCAAACATTTCTTTTTTTTTTTTTTTGATCTTATTACTGAGAATTGGATCATAAGCCCCTTTCCTCAAGCAACCATTGGCAAGAGAGGGTTGCCTTTAGCTAGACTGGCCCCCCACTTGAGTGGAGGAAAATTCTTTACACTGTATTGCTGCTACTTAGTACAGAAAGGACAGAAGAGATGCTGGGAGTCAGTCTGAATGTTTACTGTCTATCTTCCTGATGGTATGGGCTTATTTTTTCTCTTTTCTTCACTGCTGAATTCTTGGTGCCTGAAACAGTGACTAGCATGTATACAGCCATTCAATAAATAATTGTTGAGTGAGTATCAGTTATTGTCACTGGATGACTTCATATTTCTTAGAACTATATTGCTGCTCAATCAGGTCTAATAAATGTTAAATGAATTCCCTATCAAAGTCCTCAAACTGTGTGTTTCTAGCTGTTCTACCTACAAAGGCTCACTTTCTTCTCCATGTCTAACTTCTCTCCCATCACATACTAAGATGGACTCAACTTGATCAGGGTTCGTGAATCTTCCACATGCTTTGCTTTTGTGCATTTCCAAAGTTGGAATGATTTTCATGTCCTTAAAACAATATATCTCCCTGAAGGCTTCCTTAGAAGTCAAATATTTTCAACTCTAGTCACTGAATCCTAGCAAAGCCTCAGCATTCTGGCACATTTCCTTTATCTTTTGGAATATTTAATGATATTTTTCAGTCTTCTTTTTTTTTTTGTTCAATCAATAGTGAGCCCCAGAGAACTACACCTATCTATTTTGGGTAATGTATGCCCTGCAGGATACATAGTAGGCATTGGCAGGATATTCATGTTTGAGTGGCACAGAGATGATTAAGATAGAAATGATACTATTAAGGCAAATGCTATTGCTTTTAATGTCAAATACATGGAGTATCCAAACTCTGGGGTATTAGATAGATATGAAAAACTTGCTTAACCTTCAGATTTCATATCCCATTTCCAAAGATTCTGATTTAGGTCTAAGGTGGTGCTGAAAAATCTGCATTTTTATCAAATGTCTCAAATAAAAATTAGATGAACAACATTTGACTGTATAGGTATTATTCAACCAAACTCTTCTCCTTATATCAATACAAGAATAAAGAAATAAGGCTTAACTGGGTAATGTATGGAATTGTTGAATTACTGTATTGTACACCAAAAAAAAAAAAAAAAAAAGTATGGCTTAATGTCTAATGCTAAATGAAAGAGTCAATGAACATCCCTGATCCCATGAGTAACTGCTAACTAGAGTTACTGGAGTATTTAAAAATATATTTATAGAAAGGGAGGGAAGTACAGGAAAGGGGAGGGAAAGAGAGAGAAAGTACTAGATGGGAAGATTGAGTTCTGATTGTGAAGGGTTTTGACTGCTACACTAAGAGGTTTGGATTCTTCTGAAATCAGTGGGGAGTCTTGGAAGGCTTTTGAGCAGGGAATAACACAACATAATTTGTGTTGTAGAAAGCTGACTTTGTGTATGATGGATTGACCAGAAAGAGGAAGCTAGAGGCAGAAGAAAATCACATGTGATCAAAACCACAAATGATTTCTTCGGGCCACAGGGACAGGTGAGGCCCCTGGGGCTTAAGGGCCGATGTACTATGAATCAACCTAAGGCAGGTATTGTGAGTGATTGTCTATGATTTCCATTTAGAGTCACAGTGATTCATCTCTTTGTGACCGCGAGTAGTTGCTCAGTCCAGATAATAAGGTTCTCAAACCTGAGACACTCTATGCTGGTGTTCAAAATACAGAGGCAGCCCAAGAATACCTTTTATTTTTCACTTATTAATAATAGAAATTGTAGCTTAAACCTAGAAACTTACAAGGAGCAGCAAATATTTCACTTTAACGATATATCATTAGCATACGTTTTAAGGAAAAAAATGCCTATATTGAAAGTGGCTGAGACATATTGTTTACATGGTAGAGTTTATATTGGAATAGAGACCAAATCTCCCAGCTGGCAGCATCAGGGTCAGGTGTGAGGAAAGCCCTGGTGCTCTATATTTAGAGCCCAGGAAATAGGCCATTGAAGGTGGCCAGGGAAACAGGCTTTCCCTTTATGATGAAAATATTCTCCGCCTTTGCCACAAATCTCTACTGACATTTCTCTTTCATCATCATTCCAAGGAGTCCATTTGCTGGACAAAATGCTAGATGGTAAAACTGGAGGCACTGGAATTAGTTCTTTCCTTTGGAGAGGGCAAAGGAATGAGGGAAATTGAATATGTGCCCGGAAATAAGTCAATGTGAACAGCCAAAAGTTATCAGGAAGGCTGAGAATATTAAATGGGAAATGAACAAATTTTCTCCTTCTCTTAAATGCTAAAGACAGCCTTTTGATATCTGTGTAACTCAAACCGGTGTCACCCCTTCCTCCGTCCTCTTCTTGGAGCTTCCTTCCAACGCAAGCCCCATTTCAATCTTTACTGGAGCCCCAGCCTTCTTCACATATGCAAGTCTAGTTCCATCAAAACATTAGCAAGAAATTGTGGATTTCATTTTAAGATGAAGCAGGAGAGAATTTTATCACTGAAATATCCCCTTTAGACATTTCTACAATATCACTACCTCCTGAGCTGCCTGGGAGGTCTCCCCCTCTCCCCTTGCCTACTGCAGCTGCTCAGTTTCCTCACCCTCCACTCCTCTTCCCCCCCCCCCCCCCCACTCGGCCCCATTTCTTCAATCCTGCAGAGAAATTCTCCAAAATCACTCTGGGTTCTTACCAAGGCAAGAGGTCCCAAATTTAAAAGAAGGTAATTTTTCTCTTATTATTTATCTGTATAACCTTTGTTTTACCTATTTTTCCTTCATTTTTGTTATCAGTGAATAAAAAAACTAGATCAAACTAAGTGAGGAAGGCATTATTTTCATAGTTACATCTGCCATAAATTGTGGGACCAAGGGTAACCCAGGATTTATTTTTCACCCATTCCTTGGTGTGTTTATTCCACATTGGTCACTGTGTTGGGTGCTGGCATCTTTGCACTCAAGAAAGTGCCTGTAAAGGACATAAGCCCAGCCCAACATCCATAGACCCCATATTCTCAAAACCGATATTTTAACTGAGTATTTCACAGGGGGTCCTTAGGTGATTCTAAGAACCCCATGGTTCTAACAACCACCATGTGAATATATTACCTTTAAAAATTGTTGAAAACATTATATATTAGAATTTTTCTCCAGGGATGAACCACTCTTTCTGCTCCCTCCCACCCCAGCCACAATTCTGACTATGTCCCAATCATGGCAAAAAGGGAGCATTTAGTCCATACCTCAACTGGCCCTAGAACTAATTTGTCAAGCCACAAGATAGAGAAGAATCTATCAAGTAGCCTTTTACTTGTGATTTGAATAATAAACTCCACCCAACTATGGAAACCAAAATGAGAATTGCAGGTAATGAAGTGGCAGGGCCAAGTACATCATTTGTAGGGCCCAGCGCAAAAGGAAAATGCAGGGCCCCTCGTTTGAGAGTAAGGAATTTCCTAAAATATAAAGCTTTTTCCTTCTTCTATGGTCACTCTCTCTCAGTTTGCCATGGTGTTTTGTTATTTGCTTTTAATGTTCTAAGTAAAGAAACATTAAAACTTTAACATGAATTTTGCCATTCATCTTTATATGTTACAGTGCCAGTTTTAAATGCAAACCTAAGATCATTCGACTCGTATGTGAAATCACTCAAGTTGCACAATTCACATTTCAGAGCCTGTATGTGCATGTGTATTTCATTCTTACTAGAACAGCAGGGGTGCTGCACAAAACACAACTGTATCATTTGTCTATATGCATACATAGTTACCAACAGTCTTTGCCTTTGGCTTACTGATGGGTAAGGAGAGACTGAAAGGAAGAGGACTTACGGGTTGTTCGGTTTCTCTGTTCCCGTCTATGTCATTCTTTTTAGTTGAAGTGGTTGGCTAATTCAGGGAAGTAACATAAGAAAGAGAGGATGTGAGAGGGTTCTTCGGTCACTGTGTTTCTTAGGACATCGTTGTGTTTTTCTGTATTTGAAGTATGTTCTCGTTCTCAGGGAAAGCACGGCCTCTTTGAGCTGTCAGCACCCTGCTCACTCAGTTGTAGACGTGACGCATTTAGCTTATGCTCACAATGTCAACGAACTCCCACACTGCGAGTGAGTCTCTCAGAATTCTGCGCTTATGGGGAGGCAGGGAGGGGCGGACACACATACTGAGCACATCTCTACTCTTGAATGCTCAGTTGTCTCACTGGATTTCAGTTGTAAAACACAAGTTCAAAAATAAAGTTAAGACTTTCAAGATGGTGGGTGCCTGGGTGGCTCAGTCGTTAAGCATCTGCCTTCGGCTCAGGTCATGATCCCGGGGTCCTGGGATCAAGTCCCACATCGGGCTCCCTGCTTGGCGGGAAGCCTGCTTCTCCCTCTCCCACTCCCCCTGCTTGTGTTCCTGCTCTCGCCATCTCTCTGTCAAATAAATAAATAAAATCTTTAAAAAAAAAAAAAAAGACTTTCAAGATGGTGAGAACAGAACGTGACCCAGGCATGAGGCTCCTGGGTGTGCAACAGCTCACATGACCCGCCCAGGAAGCCAGTGTCAGCAGTGACCGTCCCGTTAGTCCCTCCCCCTCCGACCCCCCGGTCAGCCCTCCCTGCTACTGATACCTACTAGGCCATCTCCTCAGAACTGGCAAAGAAATCCTGCCTTCTCTTTTCTTCCTCATTTCCTTTTGTTATTTTATATTTTATTTTATTTATTTTTTCAATCTCTGTTCTTCACCCTGGAATCAGGCTCTTCTTTATACGGGTCGGCAATCTTTTAGTCCATCTCCACCTGCAAAAATGGATTGGAGTGGTTTGAGAGAAAGATCCCCACTCTAGCAGACCTTCTTCAGGAGGCATCTTAGAAATAGCAAATCTAACACGTTGAAGGTGAAGGGTATATCATGATGTTTTTGAAGCATACGCTGTGTTTGAAATCACTGTTATAAATACAGGTAGTGAGGAGCCACAGAAGACTTAAACTAGGAAAGAAAATTTAAAAACTTAGAAATGTTTTGGGGCGCCTGGGTGGCTCAGTCGTTAAGCGACTGCCTTCGGCTCAGGTCATGATCCCAGGGTCCTGGGATCGAGCCCCGCAGGAAGCCTGCTTCTCCCTCCCCCACACCCCCTGCTTGTGTTCCCTCTCTCGCTGTGTCTCTCTCTCTGTCAAATAAATAAAATCTTAAAAAAAAATTGGAAATGTTTCATTTTAGAAAAATCTTTCTGGCATATAACATAGACTTAAAATGGAGGAATCTGGAATAAATCATGGGGACTAGTTAAAAGGAAGCCATTCTCACACAGCCCATTGTAAAATGACAGTTGCCCAAGACTCTAGCTTTGAATGACACTATAATTCTTTGATTTTACTGATATGTGAGGGAAAGGGGAGTCAGGAATTCATTAGTCAACAGCTTCAAGACTAAGGGGAACTTTCTCCCAACTAGAAGTGACTGATGGCAGAAAGGGGACAGAAGGCATTTGACAGAAGGCAGGTAACTCTTCCAGGAGCTTGAGAGAAGAGAATGTTTGGGCCAACGGGCTTGATTTTCACAAAGTCAGCGGGCAGCTATTGCCCTTCATGAGTTACACGAGTTTGGGGGTGGCATTGGAGCCTGTTGTATTATAAAATATTGGGGATCCCTTAGGATAGATGTTTTCCAAAGCCAGCCCTCTCTGCCCCAAAACTCCAGATTGAGTTCTTCTATGATGCTTTCATCTTTCTCCATAATGGCTCAGACTAAAGATGGGAGAAAGCAGAAAGAGAAAGCCATTCCCATTCTCTACAACATCTGCACATACTCCCAGGTTCTTGAGAGCTTACTCCCCTGCCCAGACAACCGAATCAACTGAACATCCTATTCGCACAGAAAGGAGTCTTATTGGCTGGCAGAAGCTGTTCCATGTAACTTCTGACTTTACCTGGGTGTTTTTGGTTCGGTTTTGAATGTTCTGGTTTTTGGTTTGGGCCTATCTTCATACAGTGGTACAGGGAATGCAGGGGGATTTTCTGGGGATAGTTAACCTGTAGTCAGATGGTGAAATTGCTTCTTATTTGAATTAAAGCCACGTGTGGAAGACTTAGAAGCACGGCCGGGCTCCTGTGCATAGGGTTGGATTTTAAGAAAGTTTAGGTAGTTTGTCTTAAATAACAATGTCAGGATAAATGGAAACAAAACTGTGAATGCTTAATGTTTTCTTTTATGTCAATCTTTCTTACTGTCAGCATCCTGTAAACACTGCTAGAGAAATATCATATGCCTGCTACCTCATTTGGAAATTCCCACGTGGCAATTCCAAGTTAACATTTGGAAACAAATAAATACAAATAAATCAAGCTCTGAAAGGTAGTGTGTTTTCAAATTCTACTTTTAAAAGTGTAAATACGTCTAAGTCTCTCCTCATAAGCCGATGACCTAAAAACACTTTAGAAAGTTATATTAAAGAGGTAATGTAATTAGAAAGACCCAGAACATTCTTTCCTCCAGAGGTAGATACCTAGAAATAAAGCGAAAACATCAACAAAAGGATATTTTATTACATTATTGTCCATTCCATAGAATAAAAAATGAAATGCATGTACTTTTGTGAAGGTTTTTCCAAACTGTGCCCCTAAAGATATGTCAACTCCAGATTGATATTAGAGATTGGATAGTACTTACAATTGTTCCAGAGTCAATTCTACTCAAATATTTCAAAAAGTCTTTTCAAAATTGCTTTACAAAGGTAATTTTATGGTATGATTTTGACTATACTATATTTAAATCATTATATATTTTTTACGTACATGTACTGTTATTTGGAAAGCCATGTAACTACCAAATCAAAGTAGAGTAGATGGAGCTTGGGACACTATACTCTGCTGATTATCTTTGTACTTCCTTTGTCAGGCATTTTTGAAAATGTCTTATTGTTTCACATCACCAGCATGGCCCCTAGCAAAGATCCTTATAAATCTTTAAAGACTGTGAAGCTGAGGCATTTGCTGACCCCGTCTCTATAAGAATCATGAGGTCTGATTGACAAGAAAAACTACCTCTCTCTCTCTCTCTCTCTCTCTCCCTCCTGGCTCTCCGCTCTTGTTCTCATTTTCTCTCTCTCTGTCTTTAATGAAGCAGCTGCCCTTCTAAACTTGATCCCATATGGTCCTGTTTGAGGAAAGAGGGGGAAAAAATTAAAATCAGTTCTCACTAATTAGAGGAAAATTGTATGTAAATAATTGAAAGGTCTTTTCATTCTTATGGCTGACATTTCTACCAAGGCCTTAATTGACTGTCGGGCCTAAAGGGTTACATGCTTTTTTTAAGTAACTTGTGCTCCTGGCCAAGTACTCGCTGGGACATGCTGAGAGTAGTTTGAGATCACCCGCAGCTCTTGCTATTTTAGTCCGTGTCCCTGCTGGAAGTTGCAATTAATTCGGATAATACTAAAAAATCATAATTATGACAGTTCTGGTATTTTATAAGAATAACTTACATTCAGTCTTGCCAAGAAAGTCATGGAATGTTTAGCAGAAGGGCAAAAAAATCTATACAGTGACAACGAGTATCTTATATAGAAGCAGACCACAGAAGCCTTGATAGGGCTTAGCTTATCCTTGTAAGTAATTTGTGGAATATTCTGTGCTTGCTAATTAACCGTTCTGCGTTTAAATTGTATTTTCTATCAGTAATTATGTGTGTTGCATTTGTTTTTGTTTTTAATTCTAAGAGTTCATTCATGGGCAATATTTAAAGCCAATGCCAATTTTAAATCATTCTTGTACATAGAAATGCTATGTGTGCCCAAAGAGCACAGTGTTTCATTTTTTTCCTTGACGAATACTATGATTAAAACACCTCCCAAACCTAGTATCATTGTTAGGTCTCTCTTTCTCTCTCTCTTGCTCCTGATTTCTTCTTCTTTTAATTCAGTTTTACTTGTAACAGCTAAATTTCCTAATAGGTTTTCTTATTCTTCAAACTAGAAAAAGAAAAAGAATATATAAAGAAAAGGTTTGAGGAATTAATAGTGAATGTCTAAGATGCTGAAGTATGATTTTTTTCTGATTTGTTGGGTGATTCAAATTAGGGGCATTGAACAAATATTTTTCATGTATAAAAAATGATCTTCAGAGTGCTGATATATTTTTTACAAGATCACCCTGAAAATTACTCAAGAATTATACTCTTAGTATGTGTCCCTGTTGGGTGGATAATAGGTCTTGTAACAAATTATTTTTTAGAAGAATATTTATTTGGAGTCATTATGGTTATAGGTGCATGATTAAAGGAGGTGGAATGTAATTTATAGGCAGAAGTTCTTTATTTAATATTGACTGTTGTCTGTACTAGCGGTTTGATTTTTGATAAATTATTTTCTTTAAACTTCAGGTTCATCTATAAAATGAGGATAAGAAAAATTATAACCTGGTCTACAGAGTTGTAACGAGGACCAAAGAAGCATGAGAATATTAAAGTGTTCATTTACAGTTTGTATAAACAATTAGTTGAGAATGAGCATTCTAGTCCATGAATGTTTCTTGCTTAATAGTGTTAAGGGGTGAAATGACTAAGTAAAGGCAAAAAGGCATAAGCTAATGCTTTTTTTGTCTTTACTGATTTTTCATTGTTAATATTTTATATTTATTTTAGAAAACTTGATAAGTAGGAATCCTACTTTATTATGACTTTAATAACTACGCAGCAGTTGTAAAGAGGTAAGGAGTGCTGAATTTAAGGACCGTGCTGTTTTTACCTACTGCTAACTCGGTAGAGTCAGAGAGCAGTCCTCATACTGCCCTATAGGAACTCTGGTGGTCCGTCTATAAAATGGAGCAGTAAGTGTGGAAAATCTAATCACCCACATATGACTGCTCCTGGCTCTCCTGAACCACAGATGGGCACACCTCTTCTGAGGGGTCAGGACACGTCTGCAATGAGCACTGGCAGGGGCATGGGGTTTCCTGTGTCCTGTTCTCCTCCTTGGTCCCTGATGGTTTTTCTGTTTTCTGTTTTTTTCTCATTGGAGATTCTTTTTTTTTTTTTGACCTTTGGGAGAAATTGTTTATTGCTTCTTGTTCCATGAATTTTTTTTTTTTATGGTGACTAGTTTTGTGCTCCTAGGAAGTTAAAAAAAGAAAGGAAATTGGAAAGGAAAGGAAAAGAAAGGAAAGGAAAGGAAAGGAAAGGAAAGGAAAGGAAAGAAGAGTTATACCAGTATAATGTGTACCATAATAGGCTCCAAATGAGAGGGACATTTTACATTTGTTCCATGGATTCCTATCAAGTATTTTTGGGGATCTGATGTTTCTTTCTCCAAAGTGAATTTCTATATAGTATTAACTTCAGTTTTAAGGAATACTGCAGATACTTGAAAGTATATGTTTTTATTTACATCACCTTTGATTCTCCTTTAAAAACTGATAAAACCCTCTTAATCAAAACTTGATATATTTTGGTGGTAAAAATATCATCCTAAAATATGTCTTTGAATTAATGCTTATCCAGAATACTTTCCAGAATATAAGCATCCAACAACTACAGGAAAAAAAGAAAAAAACAAGAAATTAAAATGCTGTGGATTTAGGTTTTTGGTTGACATGGTGGTTCTTACTCCCCAAACCCTGTTACTTTTATTGTTTTCTAAATACTTAATTTAGATTTATAATCTGAGTTAGGGTGGGTTGCTTAGATACTAATTAGATATTAATTTTGCTCTATTTTGTTTTTGTGGCATGTCCCATAAATGATTGTCTTAAACACTCTCAAATAAAACATTTAAAAAACCGCCATCATTAAAAATATATCATCT